TTTATAGCACGCCGTGGTCATTGCGCTGAAGTATGGAGCGACAATGGGACAAATTTTGTGGGTGCAGCACGAGAACTCAAATCTTTATATGCTCATGAGAGGTCCAGTATAGGGAAGGAAATTGCAGATCAACTGGCTACAAATGGGACTGAATGGCATTTTATCCCTCCCCATTCCCCAAATTTTGGAGGACTATGGGAGGGAGGGGTAAAATCGACGAAACATCATTTATGGCGCATTGTTGGCAATTCAACTTTGACATTTGAAGAAATGACAACATTACTTTGTCAAATAGAATCTTGTCTGAATTCTCGGCCTATTTCTAAAATTACTGAGAATCCAGACAATCCAATCCCACTGACACCAGGGCACTTTTTGGTGGGAGAACCTCTGGTTTTACCCCCTGATGTCAATTACGAAACATCTAATATCACAAATCTCAGACGGTGGCAAATGACTCAAAAAATGACACAAGATTTTTGGCGTCGTTGGTCAAATGAATATTTGACTCAGTTTTACCATCGTTATAAATGGAATAATATTGTTCCTGAACCTACAATTGGAGATTTAGTGTTAGTAGTGGAGGATGATCTTCCACCTGGAAGATGGTTATATGGTATTATAGTTGAAAAACATCCCGGATTGGACGGAATTACGCGAGTTGTCAGTCTAAAATGTAAAAACAATGTAATTAAACGACCTGTTTCTAAATTGTGTTTTTTGCCAATTACCAACTAATGTTGATTTTTTTGTTGGCTCTCGAGCCTCATATGTTCGTTTTAGCACGTATTAGTAAGAAAGCATGCAATGTGGTAATATTTTATTTTGTATTTTTTTTGTGTTTGATGTTAAATTCTCGTAAAGATTTTCGTTAGTATTCATGTTTTGATCGGTTAGCTGTCTTAAGGAAAATTTTTGAAAATTTGTCCTTGGTGGGCTGTATGTTTACGACCTACCGTCACTTTATTTTATATTTTTGTTCACGCGATTTGTAATATGCATTGTCATTGTGTCATCTTAGCGTCTGAGTATTGATCACATCTAACATAAAAATTTGTGTTGTAATTAATATAAACCTGTGCTAAAGAAAGTAATGTGTACTTAAATTGCTCATTGTTAACATTCAAGTTGAAGGAAATAAACCGAAAGTTCATATGTATGCAGTTTTATCATTTCACAATTTCAATTGGTGTTAACAAAAAAAACGTAGATGAAAGCCATCAGCGATACATAAAGAGGGAGTTTTATTCAGTTATTATTTTTAATTTCTCGTCTAATGCCTCCATAACATTATACGTCACCGACTCTGTTATGAGTTTTGTTTGTTGGTTCAATTTCTCATCTAGTTTTAACAACAATAATTCCATACTTTTGTACATTTTTTGGATTATTTACTGACAACACGGATGGTGGTTTATATTCTTGTTGCTGGCAACACTCGCTATGTCAGTGTCAAAATGAAAGTTATTACTATTTGATAATTTGTTGGTTATGTTGGTAGCACTGTTATGTCGTTCACTCTTTAATTTTTTAGTTATGTTGTTCACTAGCTTTTATTGCACTTTTTATTCCCAGAATGTTGTTTTATGTTTTGTTCACTTATTTATATCGTTTGTTATTGACTATATTTGTGGATTTCGTGTTGTGACACTTCTATTTCACACTCTACACTATAAACAGTTATTATTTTGCGGAGGACTTTGACGTGCGTGTTCACTTTACGATCACCGGAAACGGAATCTCCTTTCCTCGCCTTTGGAATTAATTGTCATAAAAATAAATTTCACTAAAAATAACATATAACAAAACACAAATATATCAGTTTCTTTTCTTTTAACATGGATACACCTATAAAAAGTTAACTACTCAAACACAGACAATCCGTTTGTGGCTGAAGAAGGGATTCATATTATGAGGGGAGGTCAAAAAGTTCGTGGAATGATAGGGAAGGAAAATGAAATGAAACATTAAACTATTTTTGGATGTGTGATGTGTGGATGTGTGTCTGTTTTTGTGAATTACTAAATTTGAATTGCCTTATGTGCATTTAGAATAATTATTGCTTTGTTAATTATGAAATGCTAGGATCTAATTTATAAGCTGCACTGTAGAGCTATGATGCTTCATATCGGTTGGCTCAACTGGGTTAGGACGACATTTGCATTGCGCCAGCGTAATATGCTGCTGTTTTTCAAAAGGAGGATGAGGCGAGATTAAGAGGACGAGAGATCCTTTTTGCTGGTAGTTAGATATTCCATCTTAGTTATAGGGCAATGAAATAATTTGCATTATGATTTTTATTTGAGATAGGTATAGGAGGCGTCTATGGTATTAGGAAGACGCTGCTGCCCATCTCCTGATTTGCCTTCCTCTGTCGCCTTTTACGATACCCATGGGATGATATGGGTTAGAGGAGAACATTCTTATACCATCACTACGGGAATTCGGTCTGTAGTCAGTGGCGAAGCTTCTATACAAGCCCAAAAGCCCAGCTTGCCTCATTAAGACGAATCAATCAATTATATTAAGTAATAAAATAACTCGTAAACTGTTTCAAACTATTTCAAATTTCCCGCGCACTCTGTGAGACCTCGTAGCCTTAGGAATACTGCTGTCATACATATAAGGAGAGTTGAATTGAGCGATTGGTTTTCTCCCTCGCACGCGTGGGCTTTTTACCGGGCTTTCGAGAAGGCGATCGCTTCCTTTCTAACCTGTGGCAATATGTTCTATAATGCTAAAAAGCCCGGCTTTTTAGTGACCATTAATTTTTTCCTCAGAGCGGGACATCTTTAAAATTATTATAGTTCTAACACTTTTGACTGCCTTCTTGGTCTAATGGCAGTAAACGCAATTGCTGATCATGTGGTCCCAAGTTCGAAACCCGAGTCGGGTCAATAATCATTTATTGGGTTTTTCCGTCACAAAATTGTATTGTATATGTTAGTATTATACTTACGCCTTTATTATAAATCAATCTGGAACCCTTTAATATAGTTTTATAAATAAAACACATAGTTGTTTGAGTCTTTTAATGATCAAAAGTGAATTCTAAACATCAAATAAATACTAATTGGAAATATCTTATGTTATTTGATAATTTATTGTAGATTAATTAAAAATTGTCACTTCGTTAAATTCAAAAGTGTATCTTTTCAGAATAATCGCGTAACTAGACAAGCTATGCAAACCTGGTACACGCGGTGTCATAATGATGGCACGGGTGACAGGGTTTGCGTGATTGTCACGGTTTTGTTTGTCAAAGTGGGACATTTTAACGTATTTTGGGGATAGCGCGACACAAGCATTTAAATCGGGAACGTCCCGCCTAAAGTGGGACGTATGGTGACGTTAGGTATGAAGTTAGTCGAGAGAGGAGGCGCGCGGCCGACGCCGACGATATGTTAGCAAGTTCGTGTCACATTTCAATGTTTAGTGTTTACATTGTGTCAAAAAGTACTTCTACTTTGTGCATTGAGCTTGAGCGAATGTATTGCGAGTTTAAAATTTATGCTTTTTTAAAGATTTTCAGTGAAAATGGGAGGATAATAGTGTTCATTGTGATGAATATAAGTGTGTTGAAGTGCTAATCGGGGAGGAAAAGGTAAGATGTTAATATTCAATAAACATTTCTTCATACTTTAAATATAGGTACAGGACTCTTTAGTATTAAAGTTTAATTAAGTTAGGCGTATTTAAAGGTTTAATAACTCAATATTTCTATTACCATACGAATTAAAAATATCAATTTGAACACCAGCATAAAATATGAGACATCTAAGTTTACTTTTATAGGAAATAAGTGTTACAATCTTTTTTTAACGTGAAGCCCAAATTTTAATTAAATAAATCAAAAGAATATACAAGAATGTATTGAGATTTTTAAAGAATACTCCCTTTAGCTTTTCGAGTATATAAAATTTTAATAGCGCCATCTACTTAATTCTATAGGTACTCATTTTATCGAACGAAAATTGGTTGATTCTTACGATGGTACCTAAAGATTACGCTAGAAGGCACATATACGCTTTCGGCTAATTTATATTACCATAATATGAGTTTAAAAATATCATTTTGTACGGTTTATTATGAATTGAAAATGAATAATTATATAATAAATAGTCATTATTTTATGCTAAAAAATTTGCAAAGCTTTATCTTTTCATTATAACTATCTAATTCCTGTCGTAATCTGTTCTTTTATGCATATAACTTAACGCCCCAGGTGTTTTTTTTCGGGTGGTGTTTTTTTTTTTTTTTTTTTAAAAAAATATTTTTTTTTTTTTTTTTTTTTTTTTTTTTTTTTTTTTTTTTTTTTTCCCCAAAAATTTTTTTCTCTTATGGGGGGGGTGGGGTGGGGAATTTTTGTTGTGGTTTTTTTTTTTGGTTTGTTGGGGGGGTTAAATTTTTTTTAAAAAATTTTTTTAGGGGTCTTTTTTTTTTATTTTTTTTTTTTTTTTTTTTTATTATTTATTTTTTTAAAAATAAAAAAAATAAAAATTAGGAATGGGTTCCCACCTACAAAATAATTTCGAGGTTTCACATCTGCCAGGCGTCCTTTTAACTTTGTACATAGTTTGTTTGTACTTTGTTCATACTTTTCTTTTGTTCATGTATTGCATTGTTTGTAAATATCTCAAGCAAACCCAAACGGCTCCTTTCAAAACCACCGAAGGTGTGCAATTGCATATTATGTCATACAATCTATCTAGCGGTAGTATGCTTTCTGTGTGCTTTGTTAAACACGTCTTTACCAATAAAGAAGCTCAAGATTGGTGTATTTTTATTAAAATGCTAAAAACAACAAAACCATATCTTGGGCTTGCCCTAGTGTGGAGCCCTAGCTTCGCCACTGTCAGTGTGTACCCCTTTACAATCAGGTGAACTAAGTGCTTGTCTGCCATCCAATTACAAGAAATATATTAGTGCCACAGGATACATTAACTTTATTATATGATTATGAAAATTTTTCTTATTAACAATTGTTTTTTTCATTGCAGGGTTCACAAACCAAGAGATTCTTTATTTTCGTGGAGCTCTGAGTTTACCAACTTTAGTGGTCTGGTCAACTGGGGATTTTTAATGCTTACTATTGGAGGTCTACGATTGTGTCTTGAAAATTTTTTGAAGTATGTATATAAATACATTTGATCAAGATAATAATGCCTTTAATTTAAACATACACTGAATGTAAATATATACTAATATTACCATTAGTTTATATAATTTATAAAATATTTCTATTGCTTTTAGGTATGGAATACTTGTTAATCCTATTGAGTGGATAATTGTATTGACTGGTTATAATGAAGGTCACAGCCAGCATTACCCTTCTGTTATTTTACTAATCTGTAAGTATTTTAAATAGTTATCCTCCTCATATTCTACTTATAAACAGTCTATTGCTGAACATTTTTGTACATGGTAGAGCCACTCTGCTTATATATTAGTTGTAGCATGGATGGATTGGCTCAGGGTAGGACCACAGTCTCACAGAATACCAGGCTAAAATAGCAACTTAAGGCTATCGTGCTTCGTATGGTGAGTGTAGAGAAACAGAGAGCCTTTTTACTGAAAACGAGGCATTCCATCTTAGTCCTCGGGGATAACAATGCATCTGCATTTTGTCACACTTATTCTATTTAAAAAAACGTTCTGACTGTGAACCATGAAGTCTAGTATTTAAATCCCAGGATGGGCAAAAATCTATTAGTTATTGAGTTTTTCTCAGCGGCCCTTTGGACAGCACATAAAGCTGTTAGTCCCTCTCTGATAGTGTTGGATTGTCGCCTCATCGTACTATGAGAGTAAGGGGATTTGTGCATTCAAGTCCTGCCCTGTGCAAATGGTTAGACTGGAAACTGATTGCCACAAGTGAAATTTGTTCTGGAGGCCATAATTATTGCTGAACACCGATCACTTCTATAGCTAAAGTGATTTTATGTAATTACTATTCTTTAAGGTGGCAAGTTGGCATTTGCCAAATACCAAAATGATTTTTATGATTAGCAGTATGTGATGGAGTGATAAATTATTTTATGCTGCCACCACTTCAAAACTCATGTGTCCTGTGAATGAAAACCTGTCAAGACATGTACATAGACTTTGTTTTGTGTCAGGCTAGATAGAGGTTTTGTCGAGCGGTAGAGTTGTAGTTAGCAATAATTATAATGATGATAATAGTCATTTTAAATTCTCTTTCTTAAATTCTAAGCTAGACAAACTGTTTTTATATATTAATTTGTATCGCATTTCAAGTATTTATAAAACCTTTGTAAGTCATTTTATTATTTTGATTGAACATACGCATAATAATTACAAATAAGGAATTAATTAACATTTTTACTAATATTTTCAGTCAGTGTTGTCCCAGCTGTAATCGCTTTACTAATTGAGAAGGCTATTGCATTTGTAAGTAGAATATAATGTGGAAAGTAGTAAATTATTACATAACTTAATATATATTACTGATAATTTCTTATTGTTTTAGGATATTTTGAGGCAGAAAGTTGGCATTACTTTGCATATTTTAAATATTGTCTTTGTCATAAGTTTGCCTGTGGTGGTGCTGCATTTCAAAAGCCAAGATTTTAGTTTTGGTTTGTATATCTTTCAAATTTTTAGTTCATTATGCAATTAATAATTGATAAGAAAATATCCTGTGTTGTTGCTGTGTAGTGACAGTGTAAGAAAATCCACTATCCTATAATGTACACATGGGTGACGTAAGAGACTATTGAGAGAAACTGAAACAGTAGTATTTTTCTGATAACTACTCAACAATAATATAAGTCGGCTAAGCATGGCATCTTTTTTACATGGTAGAGCCACACTGGGTGGCATAAATGGGTTGGCTCGAGTAGGGAGGGTCCAGGCTCTCACAGAATACCAGCGTGAAATAGCAGCAACACAGCAAAGAACTAGAGACCTTTTTTTACAGCTAACAAGCCATTCGATTTAAAACCTCAGTGGTGACAATCCACATTTGATTTTTAATCAAATGTGGATTGATTTGACTTAATCAAATGAGGATAGATATAGATGCCTGGGCCTATGCATCCAGTAACTATCAATTGATCCGTATACCTGTTTGTCACCATAATTATATAAAGTAAAAAGATAACTATATCCGCATTTTGATTTGTCATATAGGATAATTGTTGATGTCTACGGGTCACAGCAACTACTTACCATCACGTGGTCTGTGTACTTGTTTGTCTGTGTATTCTTTAAAAAAATTAGTGTTGATATATCTGGTTTTTGCTGTTTTATGTATTAGTATAAGGTTGTGATTTAATTAAATTATTGAACTATATATTGTGTTTATACTAACTGATAACCACTCGCTTCGCTGAGCGCACAGTAATGTTTTATTGCGGAACCTACATCTAAAATATCTAGAATTTTTTATGATGGGACTATATTAAAATCCGTTCTTAGTGAGTGTTTACATTGCGAAATGAAAATATTAAATTTTAAGTCGATCGGGTGTTTATTTTTAGAGATCTTGTGAAGAGTCAGGCAGTGGTATTTTCCTTACTTATATATATATATATATATATATATATATATATATATATATATATATATATTTTCTCTAATTACAGTGGGCACAACAACAGTTTGTATGATATACTTGATCTTATTTTTAAAACTATGGAGCTACTGCCACACAAATTTTTGGTGTAAAAACAGTATGGGAGCAAAATCTTCAAAGAATAAGTTAAGGCGACAGAGTCTTTCAGCACCAAATTACAGTAAGTATTGTAGTGTAGTAACTTCATATTTTACTATGCTCTGTGGATGCTCTCTAGAGAAAATTAATATTATGTTTTAATCAATTAATAGCCAAAAAACATTTGCTGGGTGTTAGGTATGCACTAAGGTGAAAGTTGTTTAGTTTAGTACTCATGCTATTATATTTGCTAAGCATAACAATTACAACAAATTCGATAGATCGCGGTATAACCATTTTGTTTACGCCAGGCGTAATTTACCCGGACATCTAGGAGCCTCATTGGAGGTGCTCAACGTCTGGTATTTTGATTGTCGATTGTGACTTTTACAGGCTTATAAAGAAAATAGTTTACATAAACAAATATCGTGTATGTAGTCAGTAAAATAGAACGATGCATTATGCAATATATGTAATGAATTGGAAACTGACTGGATGACAATAGAGAAATCTTGTTTCTTTAAATTGGATTTATACATAAAGATGTAATAAATTATTCTACAAATTATTTTATTAGCTTTGGTCAATATAATTATCTTAAAAACTATAACTAAAGACAAATACTAGCAGTAATCTATGGAATTCAGTTTATGAGAAATACTAGCAGTAATCTATGGAATTCAGTATATGAGAGCAGTGTAGCAATTCTCTAGAGATGATGAAATGGGGACAATTTTCCAAGCACCACTGATGAATACTAATGAGCCAAACTTCTTACTACTTTGAGCTGAAATAGAGTTGTTTAAATTACCATGGACCTATCATAATATATTATTGATTTCAAAAAAGGACCAGATCCCGTCTTTTTGGCGATTGTGGGTTTTATTATCATAATCACTGCTGAATTTAGGCCTCCTCAAGAAATGCCACAAAGCATGATCCCGAGCCACCTGCATCCATCGACTTCTAGTGCGCTTGTTCTATCGTAAATAATTATTCGTCGAGAATACAATATCTTTCTATTTTGCTGCTGTGGAGCGTTATTTAAGCAAATTACACCTCTCAAGATAACCATTTCGTCTTGTCTCTAAGCAAATGCACTTACTTACTATGCAGTACCAATTAGACATAAATCATAATGATTTTTGAAAATAAAAATGATTTCCGCTATTCCTAATTCACATTCATAAAATTAATTTAAATTACATTCTTTATATATTTTTTAATTTGCGACATACTATTTACAGATGAACTTACGAATGCTGAGAATGAGCGTAAGTGAATCTTTTTAAATGCACCTACTAGTGTTTGAATAATATGCTAATTTTATGTATTATTTTCAGCTGTAGAAATAATACACTGCTTTTTGTTCTTAATTGTTGCAAATTTAAAACAATGGCATGGTGTACTAAGATTTATTGGCAAAAGTGAGCTGATTTTTTATTGTATTTTAGACTTCGTGTAATAATATCCTAATTTCTAAGCCTTATAAAAATACTATTTTACAAATTTTAAAAATAGGCGCTTATTTTAGGTATACTGGTAATCTAAATTATCTAAATAGAGTAAATGTTCTTCCGCAAAGCGATTCAACTTGTTAGGTAATAGGGAGTTAATCTTGGCTACACAGCAAGTAGTTTTGTAATAATACAATACATTACTATTACATGGTAGAGCCACGCTGCAGCTATATCATGATTGTAGCACGAGTTGGTCGGCTCGACCAAGGTAGGGCTACCATTATCATCATCATCATGATGAACATAGGCCTCCCCAAGGAAAGCTACAAAGCATGGTCCTGAGCCACCTGCATCCATCGACTTCTTGCATGAAATGAACTGAATGATTTTTATTCAACATAGATTATTATAAAATACTTATTGAAAGTCCTTTTTTAATTTACCACTGGTTCGCAAAAAAACCTCTGTCCTGAGAAGAACCAGCAAGAAACCCAGCAGAATTTTTTTTTAACATATTTAAATTTACAACAAATTTATTTTGTTACAATTTTCGAATGATTTTTTATAGAACCAGCATGGTGACGATCACCTCATTCCCAGGGGTTATTTTCATTTATGTATTCATTTATATTATAATAACCCCTTTTTTACAATTTGTCTTTAATAAAACATTTGAACTTGTTTAATGACAAATTTTGTACATATTCTGGGATTTTGTTGTAAAAGCGTATACATTGCCCCATAAATGAATTACTAATTCTGTGCAGTCTAGTAACTGGTATTACAAGCTTATTTTTGTTCTTAGTTTTTAAAGTTTGAACATCTTTATTCTTATGAAAGTTATGTATGTTTTTATGTACATACATATATTGTGATGCCAAAGTTAATATGTTTATTTCCTTAAATTTTTCTCTAAGGGACTTTATTATTTTTTTATTTATTTATTTTTTATAGAAGAGGGAGCAAACGAGCATGCGGCTCACCTGATGTTAAGTGACTACCGCCGCTTATGATCAACCGCAACACCAAGGGAATTGCAGGTGCGTTGCCGGCCCTTTAGAAAGGAGTAAGCTCTTTTCTTGAAGGTCCCCCAGGTTGTATCGGTCCGGAAAAATCGACGGTGGTAAACTATTCCACAGAGAGGACGTACGCGGAAGAAAACTCCTTTTGAAACCTACAGTGGTGAACCGCCAAGCATCCAGATGGTGTGGATGGTTTGCTGCGTAGTGCGTTCACGAAATTTGGCGGCTGGGATTAATCCGAGCAATTCCCATGATAAATGCGAAAGAAAATGCAAAGAGATGCAACAACATCTCTTCGCAGCGCCAGTGAATCGAGCCGATCGGAAAGCACTCGGTCGTCGACGATTCGAGCCGCTCTGCGCTGGATGCGGTCAAGTGGAAGGAGCTGGAAGAGCCCCAGCCCAGAGATGGGAACAGTATTCTATGTGCGGCCTAACCTGCGCCTTGTAAAGTTGCAGGTGGTGTGCCGGCATGAAATACTGTCCCGCTCTGCTGAGCACGCCAAGATTTTTAGAGGCCAATTTGGCCTTCTCTTCCAAGTGACCACGAAACTGCACGTCACTCGATATGTCGACGCCGAGGATTCCGATACTGACTGAGACAACAAGGGGAGTGCCTTGAAACTGAGGAGACACGACAAGGGGGTTCTTTTTGCGGTTAAACTGGACTAGATTTAGTCGCCCCCAATCCGAGACTCTATTCAGCAGAGACTCGACTTCAGACACAAGTTTGTCCCGGTACTCGGAGACGTTTTCCCGAGAAACATTGGCACGGCCGGTGTACAGAGCATCACCAGTGCTGTCATCAGCATAACAATGAATGTTACGGGTTTGCAACATATCATTGATATGCAGAAGAAACAGCGTTGGCGATAGCACGCAGCCTTGTGGAACACCAGCACTAATAGGCTTGCAATCGGAGCCCGCACCGTCTACAACGACCTTGATGCTCCGATCTGCAAGAAAGCTGGTGATCCAATCGCACAATTTCTCGGGAAGCCCATAGAAAGGGAGCTTCGAAAGAAGCGCTTTGTGCCAAACTGTGTGCTTTGTGCCCGATCGAAGGCCTTCGAAATGTCCAAACTAACGGCCAATGCCTCCCCCTTGGACTCTACTGCCTCCGCCCATCTGTGAGTTAGGTAGACCAGAAGATCACCAGCTGACCGACCACGGCGAAAACCGTACTGGCGATCACTAATCAGCTGGTGATCCTCAAGGTACCTCATGAGCTGGCAGTTAACAATAGACTCCATTGTTTTGGAGAACAAGGAGGTGATGGCGATAGGCCGGTAGTTGGACGAGTCTGAGCGATCACCTTTTTTAGGGATCGGGTGGACGAAAGCCGTCTTCCATGATTTCGGGACTACGCCTAGGGAGTAGGAGTACCGGAAAAGACGCGTTAAAGCCGGTGCCAACTCTGGAGCACACGTCCTCAGCACAATTGGGGGGATTTGGTCAGGCCCACTCGACTTGTGGATGTCCAGGGAGAGGAGTGCTTTGCGAACCGAGCACTGTGTGAACTGCACTTCCGGCATGGAGCACTCACACCGCGGGATGGTCGGCGGCGTACTCGAGTCCCCCCCCCCATTCCCCACACCCCCCGTCATCGAGTCGAGTTGAACGCAAAGAAAGAGCCTAGCAGAACTAGCTTTCTCCTTTGCGGTATGAGCCAGTGAGTCGTCCTCCCTGTGCAGAGATGGAAGAGATGGCTGACAGAAATTCCCTGGACAGCCTTGGCGAGAGATCAGAATGCACGGGTTCCAGAAGAAAGGCGAACTAGTTTCTCGCCAATTCTGCCTATGTGCTCTGACTTTGCCTCGGCAATGACTCTTTTGAAGGACCTAGAGGCGGAATTATACTTTTTTTAGAGCGCTGGTGTTTACATCCCGGGACGCTGATGCGTCAGCCCAGGCTTGGTAGCACTCCTGCTTATAGCATGATGCTATTTTACAGGAGCGACCAAACCATGGCTGAGATTTGCCTCCGATGGGCACCACAGAGGAAGGAATAAAAAGTTCCATACCCTGAAGTACCACATCAGCGACAGAATCCGCAACAACGTTAGGATCGTTCGGCGAGAAGCAAACCCGCCCCCAAGGGTAGGATGCAAATAAAGATCGCATCCCCTCCCAATCGGCTGACCTATAGTGCCAAACACGGCTGCCGCCGTGTGCAAGCCGTGTGCTGCCGCAGAATGCAACTGCGATTTCAGCGTGAGTGGCACCACACTCCGGACAAGACAATGGTCCGAGGAGCCTAAAGGGGAGTCGACGGAAATCTGATATCCGTCCGGGTGAGAGGTCAGCAAAAGGTCCAACAGGGAAGGTGCATGATCCTCCACATCTGGAATCTGCGTAGGCGAAGTAACCAGTTGTGTCAGACCATATGCCAAGGCAAAATCATGAACAGATCTCCCCGCATGATCGGTTAAACGTGAACCAAGCCATTCGGCGTGATGGGCGTTAAAGTCGCCGAGGATCACGATCTCTGCGGAAGGGATCTGCTGTAGCAACGAATCTGTAGCCATTTGGACGTGGTCGAAGAGTCGGTCTGTTGCGGCATTACCGCTATGGGACCTATAGAGGCACCCGTAGACGCGCGGATGGTCGTCGCTGTCTGCGCGTAGCCAAAGGATGGACAGGTCCGAACCTTCAAGACTGCCGAGGCGTCGAGAACAGATGTCCTCTCTGGCGTAAACGCAAACTCCAGCCCGAGGCACAAAGGAGTGTTCCAGTTTGTACCCCGGGTAGGAGAGATACGAGACATCAGCCGGAGACGACACCTGCGTCTCGGTCAGAAAGAGCAGAGCCGGCCTCGCCGTCTCGAGATGGTAGTGGACGGCGTTTAATTTATAGTGAAGTCCCATGATATTGCAGAAATTCACGGATAGCGTGGCAGGGGTCGCCTTGGTCTTGTTGCTCCGTTTGCCCGGAGCAGTTCCCCCCCCCCCAGAATACGCGGGGCAGCCTGAGCACCCACGCTCAGGAGTGGAGAAACATGGTCGTGGATGCTCAGTGAGGGATTCTCCAGGGGTGATGGTACCCTCCTGGGGTAGTCTATCATTTAATTACAATACCATGTTAATGAGGGGGGGGGGATTTGGGCCTCCGGCCACCTGCCCTTTTTTTACACACAAATTAAGTTGTAAATCGCCCGTACGGCTCTCTTTTGCAAAACAAATATGACTTCAATGTCAGTCGCATTACCCCATAGTAAGATTCCATAAGTCATTACGCTATGAAAGTAACTAAAATAAACTAATCTAGCTGTCTCAACATTGGTTAGACTTCTAATCTTTCTTACAGCATATGCTGCAGAACTAAGTCTGTCTGCTAATTTTTGAAGCTTCCCAAGAAAAACAGTGGTATCCACAAGACTCAATTCTTCCCCATTTAAGAGCACATTGGTATTTGATTGTTTAACATTAGGTATTGTAAATTTAATACATGTTTGTCATGTCTTACCAGTTCGTCACTCCAATTAGTGGGGGATCGCCCTACACTTCGTTTACTGGTACAAGGCTGCCACTGGAGAACCTTTTTTCCCCATCGGTTATTGGTTTTTCGACCTATACTGCCGGCCCATTGCCACTTCAGCTAATCTATTGGATTATGTCGGTCACTCTGGTTCTATTGCGGATATCCTTATTTCTTAGTTTATTACGCAGAGAAACCCTGAGCATAGCCCTTTCCATAGTTCGCTGAGCGACCTTGAGCGTTCTCATACGGCCGGCAGTGAAGGACCACATCTCAGATTCATGAGTCATAACTGGCAACACGCACTGGTTGTACAA